TAAAGCCAAAGAAAAAATATTCTAATTAATTAATGTGAAAGCCAGATATTTATTTGTTTTAAGAAGTTATTTTGGTTCCATAAAATTAGGTGCCGTCATTTAAAAGTAGGCAATAGAGAAAAAATATACACTTAAATCCCTATGTCTACTTTTTCATAAATATCATTTTTATAATTTTTCAAATAATAAATACATGTTTTTATTGTACCGGAAACACGATCTCCCTTTTGAACATTCGGATGCGTGCGAAATCGGGTCTTTAAAACACAAGTGCTTTAAAAGTTGATAATTAAGGGCTTCAATTTTTAATAATGTTAATGAAAATATACTGGCGTGTTTAATTGGTCTGTCCTTGACGGATAATACGCGAATTAATTAATTAACTACACACTGATTATGTCGGTAGTTACAACCCCTATAAAAACCCGAATAAATCGTTTACTGCTGGGTAACACTCTGATAACTTCGAGAGTTTAAACGTAGGTAATTATTAAATCTTTTGAGACTTTGAAATGCTCTCAAAATACGTTTAAAATATCTACCCTGGAAGGTTTTTCAACGCTTTGATAGCTTTTAACGGTTTTAGTTCAAAAGACTCAAGAGACCCTTCCTTTAAAAAGACAAAAGAAGGAATTTTTCTGAAATGATTTTGGAGAATCTTTGAGATCCTTTAGAGGCCTTTAGGAATGTTTAACGATTTAAACGCTCTTAAGGGCTTTTAGAAACTATGAAAATATTTCATTAGACTATAGGGCCTCACAAAAGCTCTTAAGGGCGCATCATATAAGTTTTCTGAATACTCTTAATGTTTTTGAGGTATTTTTAAGGACGTCCAAAGAAACCAAAGCTCCTTAAAAATTTTGAAACCGTACGGAAGTGTCGCCGTTTGAGCGATATTGTCAAAGAACGTATTGCCGGGGGGCCTGGGAGGTATTGAATACTATCTATCAGAGAGCACCCTTCGCAAAAGCATTCTTTCTCTATTACCTCTAGCACCTTTGGCGTAAAGGAATTCGAATCTTCGAAATACGTTCTAGTCCAAAACCTTTAAAAGTCTTAAGCGATAATTTTGGGAACAAGATCCTGAATACGTTGAGGGCTGAGTGAGTTTGACATGAAACGTATTACCGGGGAGTCTGATTCCATCGCCCCCCCCCCCTCCAGCACAGAGCACCTGCGGCAGAAGCGTTTTTTCCTTAACTAACCCTAGCACCTTTATGGTAGTTTTAGTGAAAAGGTAATCATATTTTCAAATGCTGGGGGGTACTCCACCCCCTAGAACCCCTGGTAATACGTTCTGCTCCAAAAACTTTGACCACTCTCACAATAACTTTCATGAAGGCGGTGACGACTGAGCGAATTTGACAAGAAACGTACTACCGGGAGGTCTGGCGGTATGGAATACCCCTATGCAGAGAGCACCCTCGGCGAAAGTGTTCTTTGTTTGGTACCCCAAACACACTTATGGTGCTTTTAACGAAAAGTTAATCATATCCACGAATACTGGGAGGTATTCCATACCCCCTGGCCCCTCGGTAACGCGCTCTGCTTCAAAAAACGTTTAACACTCTCACGATAATTTTCGAGACAAGATCATGAAAGCGTTGAGGATTGAGCTAGTTTGACAAGGAATATATTACCGGTGGATCTGGTTCCATACATACCCTCCCCCCCCCCCCCCCACCCAACAGAGAGCACCTTCGGCAAAAGTGTTCTTTGTTATTACCCCTAGCACCCTTATGGTAGCTTTAGCGAAAAGGTAATCAAATTAGAACCCCTGGTAAGACGTTCTGTTTCAAAACCCTTTGGCACTCTCATGATAATTTTCGAGACAAGATCATGAATGTGTTGACGGATGAACGAGTTGGACAAAGAACGTATTGCGGGGGGGCGGGGAATATTAATACCCCCTGCTGCGAGCACCCTCGGAAAAAGCGTTCTTTCTTTATTACCCCTACCAACCTTGTGGTAGTTTTAGCGATAAGTTAATCAAATCTTCCAATTGACATATCTTTGCAAACTCGTGGAATTTTCTAAACGCCCCAAAATCTTTTGGAAACTTCTAAAAGGGTATCAGAAGACCATAAACTAATGGACTTACAGACCCACACATCTCGTGAAGAGTAGTAAACGCTCTGCATATTAATTATTAACCACTGTAAAGACTTACTACAACCGATCGGTTGTTTTGCACTCAAAACTTCTTCAACGTCTATTACCTACAGTCTCGAAGATACACTAACGGGACGTTTAGGCTATAGAGAACTATGGCCAGCGGTTATGCAAATTTTCAATAATCATTAAAGAACTATATATAGCCCCTTAAAAGCTGTAAAGAACCAATAATGCCCTTAATAGTGCTTAAAGATTCTGAAATCCCAAAAGGAAGACCATTTAGGGCATTTTGAAGACTCTTAAAAGCCTTTATAGATCAAAAACCCTCCAGGAAGTTCTCAAAGACCCTTGTAGAATCAAGACACCTCTTAATGCTACAGCATTTAAAAAACTTTAAGAGCCTGTTGGAAACCATAAGCCAATCTTGAGATATCTCAACCGCCCTTAGAGTCTCTTAAAAGACTCATACACATCAGTATGGTATAACAAGTTCTAAAAATATCCGGGATTCTCAACTATTGAGGTTTTTGGAGGATTTTGAAGAGATTTGTTTGTAGAAGAGAGTATGAAGAGATTCTACTTTTTGGATTCTGCGTATAAGTTTAATTTTCCCGATTGTTCCGAGCTTCAAGATTCTTTCTTTTGTCCTCAAGTCCTTCCGATTCTTACGTTTATCCTTCCAATTTTTCACATGATATTCGAACTTATTCTTCTGCAAGTTTGAAGATTAATTGGGGTCTGCTTTTTCCGATTTTCAAAATCAACATTTAAACGCGCCCAAATCCACACTGATTTGATACCTACGTGTGTTGTTTCCAAAAAATTACGCTCTGACTTCATGATTTCCAGAAATTAGATCGTAGAAATGTAGATTTATACAGTAAATTTCTCCATATCGTTACAAGCACAATATGTCTCCGATATACAGATTAACATAAATGTAATATGTATTAACCCCGACGCGCCACCGTGTTATTCTAATCGCTCAGATTAACGCGTAGCCCGTGGTGGAAAATTGGCGTCGCATTCTTTCCTGCGGTTCCGCCTACTCCATAATTCCGCTTTACCGGGTAGCTTTGGACTTAATTTTACATGACGGTCTAAAGGTGTACGTCAAAACTGAACGTTACATTATCATTTAATTAGCATTTAGCTCGAAAGAGATAATCCAGACGTATATTCTGTTCCGTAGATGGAGGCAATATCCGCGCGTCTCGGTTATAATCCCCCCCGACAATATTTGTAACACCATCAGCCAGAAAATGGCCAGATAAGCCTAATGTACATAGACGTTATTAGAAATTATCTCGTCGGGGCGGACTCAGATTTACATGTCAATAAAGTACGCATCGAGGGCTTATTTTGCGTTCTCCACCCCCCAAGTGAGTGAAAAATCATTATCACTTGAACGGAAATTGGGACACGATGCCTTTCGAGTGGAAGTGCTCGAGGAAATAAAAGGGGCAACAATGCACGAAATCCACCTTGTTACACTTTTTCCCTTTTTATTGCACTTGTCTCAAACGCTTTACTGCACGACTCTAATGTAATTACACGGGGTGGCGGCGGTTATGCCCTCTGCCTTAATGGAGATCGACCCAATTTGTAACAGTATACATTAATAATCAATCTAATGGCTATACGTGTAAATTGAATGCGCTCAATTATGAAAAATTCAAAATTAACGCGGGTATCATAATCAACCGTTAAGGTCTTAATGCGAAAAGCTTGTTCTGAGATTTTTAAACTCGTTCTTTGCGAAATATGGTCATTTGCAATTGAATAAAGGGTGGAAAATGAAGCATTTGTTCCAATTTAGAGGTGCCTTAACTGTAGTTTATTAATATGAAACAATTTACGGACGAGGGTGGATTTCTAAATGTCGGATTTGTTAGGGAAAGCTGCCATATCAGTTGATGATATGACATATCTACCTGCTTTCTAATAATGCGATAATGTAAGCAGGCAATCTACCCCCCCTCCCCTCCCCCTCCCCCTCTCCCCTCCCCCTTCAGTCACTTCGCTTTCCTTTGTTGGTCTTCAATCGTCGAAACACCTTTAACATTAGTGCATTACCAGTTTGATTAATCTGTTATCATTTCCTGTTGACGCGATTATAATGATTATTATTATTTGTGCATCTTTTCGCGGGTAAATACTCCCTGCGAACCTTTTTTGTTTTACAAGAACGATTTTTCTGCTCCTTTTTTTAAATTTGAAATGAATAATTTGTCGTTTTTTCAGAGTAGCGTTGCCCTTTTGGCATCCCAACCTTGGCTCCAAAACCATTCGTCCGATTTTGATAAAATTTAAGATTTAATGAATTGGAATCTTGATTGGAATTAAGTAAGATTCCGAGAGCACGACCTCACACCATAAAACAAGGTCACTCCTTAGTTATGTAACCGGGGAATCCTCTTTCTCAAGGCTAGGACTTTTTTCAACGAGGAAATCCCAGGCCGCGACTCTGGGTCAAAGTCCAGGATAGCGAAGGGTATCCCACTTCTACTAACGACACTTCAATGGTTAGAAGCTGTTTTCGTGACCCAAAAAGGCTTATAATTCCCTGAACGCGCGATAAATGGCTCTTAAAGGCTTTTTTTAACTTGGCACAGATCTCACAACTAAAATCTTTTCACGTAAAATTTCAATGTTGTTAATTGAGAACAATTTAAGTTTAGGAGTTTAGGAATCATGGACTCTCAAAAATGTCAAAAAACCGACATTATAATTTAGTAAAGCACGAAATACACGCAACTGCACTATTTAATTGGGTGCAACTCCATTATTAAATTGCATACTTCCCGACCGACACGGGAATTAATTGCTAACGAGCTCGTTCCATTTTTACGACGTTACGCTAACGCTTATTCCTTTAATTGCAGGACTCTGCGAAGATTATCCCGCCGGAAAATGCTGGTTTATTTATGCGCGCTGTCCTATCTCGCGCTGGGCGCGACGTTGGGTAAGTCAATTTTTTAATTATACTTTTGAGATCGATTTGGTACCGACAGCTTTGATTTATTTTAAGAAATTTGTAGAATTTTCGGTATCTACCACCCTTTGGGCCTTTGGGGGCGCGTTCTAAATTTGAATGCGCTGTCGTTGTGCCCATAAACATAAACAATACAATTATTTCAAGTTTTCACTATAGGCCTTTACACTATGCTAATAGGTGTCTGTAGTGGGGGCAAACGAATAAAATGTTAACTCGAACTTCAATACAAAACATTCATAACAGGCTACACATCATACAATGCGCAATAAAATCGTGCCGCATTGTTTGCCTAATTAGATTTACTTATTTTCGACTCGTGAGGTTTTCTTTAAGATTCGAAGATTACAAAAATTCAAAATGTATCTGAAATTCGGAGATCTCAGATCGGTTCCAAATTTTGATTGTGGTTGAAAGGCCTCCCAAATATGAACATCTTTAAATTTACACCGATACATGGTTTTCAGATTACAAAAATTAATGAGATATCCACAAATTTAAAATTAATTTAATTTATTAAATTTGTGGTACGTGCGAAACTTTAAACAAATGACATTCCATGCAAGTGCAAGAGTTTAAAAGTCCCTAAATGTGAAGGTTTGAAAGCTATAAAAATGCCATCTGGTGGGGAAAAAAACATAAATTTTGTCTAGCCCCCCAAACCCAACGCACTCCCGTTACAATGCCCCCATAAAAATTTTAAGTCTTAATAATTTGGCATACAGGATACTATAGATTTTCCATTCATTTACCTCTAAAGGGGTATTTCACCTCCGAAACTATATTAATATTAATTGCACCACCGAATTAAATTTCGGATAATTTGTCAATTTTTATGTCGGAAAAAATCAATGACTATGGAATGGATGCCATCCTAAGATGGTTAGTGGCATAAAAAAATTGAATTTAGCCCTTCTAGAGGGTCGCACAACAAAAACGGAACAGACAAACACGTATGGAAATAGTTTTTGGAAAAAACGAAAAAACATTCAATTTTACTTAAAAATGTACGGCGTTGGCGTCAACCTCCTAAGCAGGGTTGCCACCCCTTTAATAATTTAAAATTTAACGTTGGAATTTCCGTCCTTGCTAAACAATATACTATTTGTCTTCAAACGTCAAAATATTAGGTCATAGTTTGACTGAGTAGTGGGCGCCAAAGTTTGACATTATCGCTATACAAGATTTTACTTTTTCTTTTTCTGTGTTCGGAGGGAAAAATGTTGTAAAACACAACAATTTAATTTTCACTCCATAATAAGGATAAATAGTGCGTTACCAAGGATCTATTCATGAAAAAGAAAACAAACTTGACTGACACTGACACTTAACAATATCGTTTACCCAAAATCGTCCTGAAACCTTGGTCATTAATGCCTACTTTCTGTCAGGAAATTTTAGTTTCCATGACAGAGGCAAAGCAGACTACGTTTCCTGCCGCGTTGCCACTTTTCTGGCCGCATCTGTGACATTGCTAAATGTCTATAGACTCCTGTCATCACTGACAGATTGACATTAATCAAAAGTTCTACACAAAAATTGAAATTTTATATTAAAATACGATTTCGGATAAAAGTTAATACAAAACTCGTCAGTAAAATGACATTACCTGACTCGGAAATTAAAGTACTCGACCCCTCGTACTTCAATATAACTATTAATTTAACGAACGATATCAATATCCCATAAAAGCAAACCTATCATTAAAATAAGTCTTTTTGGTCGATTTGCGGAACTTTGAATAAAAAATAGCATAGGAAGCATTTAAGACTTTGGAAAGCAATAGATGGCCGTGCAAGACACTTACGTACTTACCAGAGAATCCCAGCACCTCCATAGAGGTCTTTCTAATATTTGCTACTAAACCCTTTTACTTTTAAAACGTTTTATTATGTTCATTTGGAGCTTTGTATGTAATTTCCGTGAGTATACATGTGTAGAAAAGGGCCTAGGAAATACTGGTGGTACTTTGAATGACAAAGTGTTTTCCAAAAACTTATTAAAGTTTCCGAAAACATTGTTTGTGCTTTCCAAAGCATGCCCTTAAAAAAGCGTGGAAAAAGCATATAAAACTGGAATTGTTGCAGACCTTTATTAAGGTTGATTCTCACTTGCGACCTTTAAGGTCTATTTATGATGCCAAAGACGAATGTAGATTTAAATTTTAGGGCCACTGTTATTAAAATTCTGTATGCCTATATTGACTATGCAAAATAAATAACGGAAAGTTAATTTTAAGCAAGCCATGGAATTATTGCCATAAGAAATACATTGTAAAAGTTTACAATGCAACAATTCAAGATTTATTCCCAAATAAAACACTAAGTGTTTCCTATCACTGATTTTGTAATTTTTTTCTCTATCGAGTGACATAAAAATCCAATATGGCGTCCATAAGAAATAAGAAAGTTGATGTGATTTATTCGAAACAAGCAAGTCATAAAGATTTTATTTTAGCACCATCAGAAAGTTAATAAAAAATTACTAAGGGTTTGTTAATAGTATCGTATGCAATATTGACACATAGCAATCTAGATACGGGTATGTTTCAAGTTTAGAATGCGGCAATTGTTTTTCCTCACTAGAGAGGAAAATCACATTTCCTTCGCCCTTTTTAGAGACGAAAGTAGTTTCGGAAAATAGTTATTTATACAACTAGAGAAGAAAGTGGAGTTTTTCAACTCGAGTTCAAAATTTGACAGATGACCGTAGCGAGTGTGTCAATTGATCGAGAACTGAAAAACACTTTCTTCTCAAGTTTTACACATGAAGTTTGACACATAGCAATCTAGATACGGGTACGTTTCAATTTTAAGTGTCATTTTTAAGATTAACGTAGCAATTGTTTTTTACTTTCCTCACTAGAGAGGAAAATCGCATTTTCTTTACCCTTTTTAGAGACGAAAGAAGTTGTTTCTAAAGTAGTTTCAGAAAAATTAATTAATGATTGAAAATAAATGAACGCCAACGCATTTTCAAATATAACCTTTTTCGGTTTCTTGACTATAACTTCGTTATTTGTAGCGCTAGAAGAAACTCTGAAAGGGAAAAGTAATCTACATAAATGTTTGCAATTCTTTGCCCATTAAGCCAGTGTAGGGCATGACGTATTTCTTGGGGGCCGCGAACGAAGGACAGAATATTGGTAGGCCACAGAAACTTTTCAGTGGGCCACGAAAATTCTTTTCTACAGTATCGAATTACTGAAATATTAAAATCAAATAAATTTACCAAAAATGGTCAGTACAAAAATCATTCCACAATAACCCCTCATCCTTGTATGTATTATCTCAATGTACCTTTCCTAGAAAGCAATAAATGCCACATTTATTGGCCTATGTTCTGTATATTTATGTGCAGTCTGAGAAAGACGTACATCTTCTTCTACTAAAATTTAACCCCCCTTCTCCAGAGGGAATTCCATACCCCCCAGACTCCCCCTGTCTAATGGGGAGGGGGTCCACAGACATAAATAGCATTCACAAGTAGGCCGCCGGCCACCGACTTTGTATCTTTACGAGGTCTCCAGACTAAACATCGGAAAAAACTTAAAGTTAAAATTGGATTTATCGCGAAATTTTTATCCAAATGATGAGAAATACAACAGAAAATGAACTAATTCGTATATCGTTAGATGAGAAAAAAAAATCTTCTTTCGCTCGGTGTCATTATAAACCCTCTAAGTTAACATGTGGAGTAATAACTGCAAAAACCCTTTTTCCCATGTTAATTCCCTATGTTCGGTTTTGGTTCGTTTCGGTTATTCGCCCGGTATATAAATTTAACTTGGGGCTAAAACCATGCAATCAAAGCATAACCATAAATTGAGCAAACATTTATACCAAAAACGAAAATGAAACAATAAAAGTTACCGCGGTTCAAACACATGATTGATGATGATGAATTACAAAAGAAAACATTGAAAATTATTTAAACAAAAACACTAAATAACACAAACAAACGACAAACTGAAACTGAACTATGATTTCTCAACCACAGCTAAAAAAATCAAGATGGCTCTAACGTACAGAACGTTCCGGTTCGAGACGGTGCAAGCAGCTTTCCCATTCTAATATGTCGCACGGTTGCTAGCTCTAAAAATGTGCAAAAGCGCTTTCCTGGGTTTTCCAAAGCTCAATGGGCCTGTTCTGCTGCGCTTCCTAGATTCGTCTAATTTTGGAAAGGACCCATGAGGTCCTGGAAAATGTTGAAAGCTGTTTTCAGAACAGTAGAAAATAGTAAGGCCATTCCGTAATCCGCTATGGAGCTATAAGGCCCGGAAGAGGTATACAAGTTTTTTTAAATCTTTAGCCTTAAGTAATAGAAGATTTTCTAGAATATTCTGTCTACATTCTAGAGCGAACCTTGCTAGTAGAAAGTACACTTCGAGCTTTCTAGAGCATTTCTTGTGCTTTTCAAGGCATTCTAAGTGCCCCTTCCGGGACGACGTTAACGAAAAGAAAAAGTGGAGGATCCAATTCCAAAATTTTCAACCTGATTTCGATTAAATAAGTTACAACATTCTCGAATTCATAAGAAAGTTTGAAAATGGGAGATCTAACGGTTAAGATTTCCTCAAATTGTTAATCACGTAATTCCAATGCTTGTGCATCTAATAACTTGTAAAATCTAATAATTTAATGTCCTGGAATCCCCAAAATTCAACATTTCAAGCTTGCAACAGGGCCACTACAGCCAAAATTTCAATTTGAAGAAATTTACTCTTGTGTCATAGGTGTTTGGAAACAAACTTATGCTCGTTACATGACATGATGTAGATTACAAGACCCTAAAAGGGCATTTTCTGGTTTTTCGGAATTTAAATATTGAATAATTCGAGAAGTTAAGAATTCACCTCCGTGAATCACATCCTCTAAAATTTCCAAAAAAACAACCAAATTGTCATAGGCGTGCGGAATTGTACAACTAAAGGTTTCTAATCTGGGTTTTAATGAATAACGAAATTATAA